AAATGGATGGGCAATGAGATTGGCTAAAAGTTTTCAAAAACGAGCTACTGTTCTTTATAAAGCCAAAGGTCAATCAACAAAATATTAAATGACTAGTTGTGTGTTTTTTAACAAAAATGTTTCGAAATTGATAAAATAGTTCAAATTAAACTTATTTAAAAAACATAAATGCAAAGTAATTTTTAAAAATCCAGCTATCTTATATATAATATCGATTTGTTTTAATTTGTGTCATTTTGACCAAAAAATGGGTGGTGCCAGCTTCGATGCTGGAGAAGCTTCTAGAAATTCACTAAATTCATGATCAGACAATGGAAATCACCTCGACAACTTTTTAAGAGGAAACCGGACGAAGTAGGTTATTCGAGGCCGCCCTGACAAAAGGATAAATTTGCTAAAATGAGGTCATACAGTAGGTTACAGTCAATAAGGTTCTCATAACTTACGCAAGATAAGGATTCTTCTTGAAATTAATATTTTATGTGTTTTCTCCCGATAGCAGAATATCATGTAACTCCCCGAGGCCATGCTCCAGATAGTTTCTAAATAGAATATTGTATTTTTATTTTCTCCTATAACCCGACAAATCAGCGACTCAATCACCGAACTTGTAAGTTTTGTTTCTGTGGACAACCATTGGGTGCGTAGTGCTGGGCGCAGATAGCAGAATGCTTTCCTGGTCACATTGGTCAGTTTTTTTGTCGAAATCTTGATTTGACTCCGAACCCTGGGCACCAGAAAGGGGTTGGGTAGTTTAAGACAGTCAGGACGAGTTAAGCCGGGCAACCAGAGCACGACTGGCAACTCTTTCGCGTCTATAAGACCTTCGATCCAACAAGTAGGGTAGAGAAGTCCATGAGGCTGGTTGGAGTCGATCACCATAACCGAAGCAGTATAGTTCCTTGAGACTGGCAATATAAAGGGTCAGGAACACATGAAAGTGAGTCTCAAGATATTCTGAGCAAAAATTCTCAAGATGTATTTTTATAACCCCCAGACATGTTCGTCATTCGGCTGTGCCAGTCCGACTGGGCTTTGGTCATGGATAACTTTCGTTACTGTGCAATATTGCTGATATAGTAACAGGAGTTGCGGTAAATGTACACAATGTATCTGGTGATAACTC